ATAAAAATTTCAACTTTTTCTTACATCAGCTTGATGCTCTCTTATACAGTATTTTCAAAAAAGACAGTTTTTATGTTATATGTTGAGATATCAATATAGACTTTTTAAAAAATAGTGATGAGAAACTGAAACTAATTGATGTGTTAGGTGAATATGGCATTAAACATCACATAGAAGAAGCCACAAGAATTACATCAACATCATCTACCTCTGTTGATAATATCTTTTCAAATATAGATCAGAATAATTGTGCTACCAGTGTAAATGAATCATTCTTCTCAGACCACACATATCAGGTATGTTTTTTTGCGAACGTAGTTGGTGATTGGGCTGAAAATAACATATATATTTGAATTGGCTACATTTGTAATCTTTTCAAGATTTTTTGTAAAAACGCAAAGTAATGATAGGTAGTGACAAATTCTGTGATATAATTAGGCTATTATCAATACTACGCAACCAATGTACCTGACAAAATGTACTCTATAATTTTAATGATTCCTTTTTTTTTTATATGACATGTTTTTTTTAGAGTAAGGACCTCTATGAAAATGTAATTTTCCGTGGTTCAATAAAGACTTCTTCTTCTTCTTCTTATATATCCCGAAAAGACAACTGAGTGATTCCAACATTCAAGTTTTTCAAAATCTGTTATCAAAAGAAGAATGGAGTGAAATGTATCAGACTACAAATTTTCAAGACCAATTTAGCGTTTTCTACAAAACTTTCCTTTCCTTTACCATTATGATTGTGCATTTCCTCTAAAAAATATGTGTATTAAGCCAAAAAGAAGGAGATGGTTTTCTCCGGAAATCAAGCAAATGCATGATCATCTTTGTGAAATGAATAAATTATGCAAAATTTTAAATAATCCTTGGTACTCAGAAAGATATAAACATTATAAAAAAGACTATCATACACTCGTCAAGTATCACCAAAAAACGATCAACAATCAACGAATTTCAAATTCACAAAATAAAATGCGTGAAAGTTGGAAAATTATAAAAGAAGGCAAAAATAATGATTTAGGTAAGGCAAATACTGCATTTGCTGGATTTCTGGAGGGCCATACTCCTTCTGAACAAGCTAATTATATCAATGATTACTTCATAGACTGTAACAAAAACTGTCCGACTCCTAACTATGATATGTATGTAGAAAAGGCACCTACAAGTTTCTTTTTGATGCCAACAACAGTTGATGAAATTCTGTCCATAATAAGTAAGACTTCTGCTAAATCCTCGCCTGGGGCTGACGATATTGATGGTAGAATAATCAAATTAGTTGCAACACTCATTGTCCACCCATTGTGTAGCACCTAGTAAATAAATCATTTGTGTCTGGTACATTTCCAGATATAAAAGAATCTGAAGGTGTACCCATTTTCAAGAATAAGGGATCTACTAATGATATAAAGAACTACAGGCTAATTTGCATCCAGAATCAAATATCGAAAATTTTTGAATCAGCTTATTGTCAGAGATTGACGAAATATTTAGAATACTTTAAACTACTTCCTGATATACAACATGGATTTAGAAAATCTAAATGTACCACAACTGCTATTCAAGACACATTAGAATATCTATATAACTCTCTTAATAATAAAGAAAATTCACTGTGCCGAAGAACAGGGTGATTCACATCTGAATTATTGTGTTATTCTCAATTTTTAAATATCGACTACAACTTGATGAAAAATGAAGAATCAAAATTATCATTCGATATGTTCTTCTTACATGAAATGGATTCATTATATGTATTGATTATACATGGTATTTCGTGAATGCTGATGTTTAGAAAATGAAGTTTAATGAGCCACATCGTATTATTGGGTTGATTTAGGCTATTGATTATAATTTCTGAGGACTTATTTTGATGCATTCCATGGTATACAGAGTGATTTATTGATTGAAAAAATTGCCAACTACAAAAAAATATTAAAAAACCACTGTTTTTTCCATCACCCTCTAATTCTAGATTTTCACCGTTAAAGTCAGATTTTTTCTTCATCAATATTCTAAGTATTAATACCTCGATGACATGAAGAATTTTCATCTCCTTGCTATGACTAGTTTTCCATATATTGAATATAATGAAAGTGATTACCCACTCAGATTAAATACCTACTGCTTCGAAACGAAAATATTACTTGTAGGAAATATTACTGTTACTGAGATATTTCCATCAGAGACTTGAAGGAATGACAAAATATACAGTATACAGCTCAGTATACAGGGTGTCCGCTTCACCATGGATCATATATACTCTAGCTGGTGATAAACAAGTTTATAGCTTACCAAAACACCACAATTTGAACTTTTATACAAAGAATTCAATTCCTATTTGTATGTTTCAAGCTACACATGAAGACAGGAATTCTTTTTTATTTCATTATAAAAGTTCCAATATCTCAAAATCCGTGAGTTTTTTGTTGAGGTCAAAATGTGGTTTCCTGATAGGTTATGAATTTGTTTATCACCGGCTAGACAGAGTATGATCGATGGTTTATCGGACACCCTGTGTAATACAACTAACTCATTTCCACGGATTTCGAGATATTGGAACTTTTATAATGAAAAAAATGAATTCCAGTCTTCATGTGTAGCTTGAAACATACAAATAGGAATTGAATTCTTTGTATAAAAGTTCAAATTGTTGTGTTTTGGTGAGCTATAAACTTGTTTATCACCAGCTAGAGTATATATGATCCATGGTGAAGCGGACACCCTGTATACCGAGCTGTATACTGTATATTTTGTCATTCCTTCAAGTCTCCGATGGAAATATCCCAGTAACAGTTATATTTCCCAAAAGTAATATTTTCGTTTCGAAGCAGTAGGTATTTTCTGTAGTGGGCAGAGCTTCTTCAGCGTCCCATGAACTTTCCTCTTGGGAGATTGGGCTTTTTGCCTTCCTCCCAATTCCTCATACATCACTCCAATTTTAATTAATACAAATAATAAATGATGATTAAGCAATACAAATTTTTTCGCCTTCACGATGCATTGAAGTATTTCCACGTGCACTTTGTTATATTCTTTTGACTGAAGATGGCCATTTGAATGGCCGAAACATGTATCAACCTTAATGAAGCAGGACTGACTGCCTGATTATACATTAAAAATTGTGGAGACGACTTTGGGTTTTTTTTTCTCTATTCAGTAGGTATTTAATCTGAGTGGGTGATCACTTTCATTATATTCAATATATGAAAAACTAGTCATAGCAAGGAGCTGAAAATTCTTTATGTCATCGAGGTATTAATACTTAGAATATTGATGAAAAAAATCTTACCTTAACGGTGAAAATCTAGAATTAGAGGGTGATGGAAAAACAGTGGTTTTTTAATATTTTTTTGTAGTTGGCAATTTCTTCAATCAATAAATCACTCTGTATACCATGGAATGCATCAAAATAAGTCCTCAGAAATTAAATCAATAGCCTAAAAATCAACCCAATGATACGAGGTGGCTCATTGAACTTTATTTTCTAAACATCAGCATTCACGAAACACCATGTATAATCAATACATATAATAAATCCATTTCATGTAAGAAGAACATATCGAATGATAATTTTGATTCTTCATTTTTCATCAAGTTGTAATCTCGATATTTAGAAATTGAAAATAACACAATAATTCAGATGTGAATCACCCTGTGATAAAGATCAGCTTTGGTTGATTCTGTACATGGTAGTTCTACCTAAAGGTTGAACTGAAAAACTGCTAGCAGAAAATTCTGATTAATTTGTCTTTTCTTGGAGATATGGGTAGATGAAAAGCGGGCATTTCTCAACTTTAACACCCAGTATCTCAAAAACTGGTCATAGGATCGGATTAGGACTCGGCATATTTGATCATTAGGTCGAGTTCAATAATATACCAGAAATTCAGGAGACAGAACGCCATTTTTATATAGAAAAAGTGCTGAAAACTTGGCACTTGACAAGTATGTGGCAATGTTTCCACATGGATTATTTGTTGCACTCTATTTCTTTTGCGTCCTGTCTTTAGATGAGCTTATTATAGTACCTATATCTGTTGCATGTTGCATTTAAGAATAAAACTCTCATTGCATTGTTTTGAAGTAATTGCAGCCAATAAATATGTTCATCTGAACAAGAAATAAATATTGACATAGAATAGTTGAAATGTGGAAATATTATTGAATTGTCCACAACTTTTAGATTCATATTTATAACCTGTTTGTGAGAGATGTATCACTGATATCACTGCTATGAATGATTTTCGGAAGTTTCAATATCATCAAGTTCAGAGTTTGTACAAGTATAAATACTTCTCAAATACAATTCGATTTTTATTTCAATACTGAATATATTGGTAAGTTATACATGGTGTTTCAGAGTTGTCCTGACAAAAGCCTAGGGGAGATTCCTCTCAACAAAATAGGAAAAAAGCTCATTAACATGGGTCCGAAAATGTTTCGTTTCCGAGATATTGGGTGTCCAAGTTTAAAAAAATGAGTATTTCAATAATATCCTGAAAAAATATTTCCCACAAAATTTGAAGATCATTTTCATTTTATGAATTTTATGTCTTTTTTTGTTTTCAATAAATTATAATGTGCAATAAATGTTTGGACAATATCTAGGCATTTTCATTTTTCCTTATGGGGATCAGAGATATGCTGAGGCAGAGCTGGGAAAATACTCTGAGAAAAGTATTTAACTGTTGAGAATACTTTCGAATATTGGAAAAAATTTAATATGGAATATTTTCAAAGGCCAAAAAGTTGTCAAAAAATAAATACATAAGTATTTGAATAGTTCACAGTAGGTATTTAAATACTTTCAAAGTATTTGAGTATATATAAAATTTGCCACCATTGGTGATGATAATCCAAACTATGGTGAATTTGGCAACACAGATTGTCTAGGCACTCTATGATAATTAGGTGCTCTTCAATATGATTGCTACAATAATTAGGTCGAGAATTAGGTGCTCTACTATTTTCATCCATACTACTATTTTAATATGATCGCTAGGTAGGCTGATTTCAAAAAGGGATTATCAGGTGACAATTCAATAATAACTCTTTTTTATCAGTCATGACTGATCCAATATCAGGAAGTATACCATGTACTGCTCTGGTAAATATAATTTGAATAGCCACATAAAACATCTTCAAGTATAAAATAACTGATAATGCTGTTACATTTGATTCACACTTCAGTGGCTCATGTTAGACGTACCTATATCATAGTCAGTACCTATTTATAATTGTAATATAAAGTTAAATCCTTTATCAAATTGATGAATTCATGCCAGACTCAACTTAGTCCTAACTTTGGAATTAGATAAGGAGAATTCAACCTTAATAATAACTTGAATTAAGTTATTCTTGAGTTAGAACTAAATTGTGTATGAATGAAAAAATTTTATATTCAATACATTTTCAAGCCTATATGTTATAGTCATTCACCCATGTGTATTATTACTATTTTAGTGTAGCAAGATGGGTCGAAAATTTGTGGTTGGAGGCAATTGGAAGATGAATGGAAGTAAACAACAAGTTACAGAAATTTTGAAATTTCTTGAAGCTGGCCCATTGAACAGTGAAACAGAGGTTATTGTTGGAGTTCCAGCTATATACTTGGACTTTGTTAAAAGTAAAATTCCCCCAAATGTAGAAGTTGCAGCCCAGAATTGTTACAAAGTGGAGAAAGGAGCATTCACAGGTAGACACACATCTTATCAAATTTGCAGATTTTATGGTCTGTTATTTGGCTTGTTCAGTGTTCACAGTGATTTTCTCAAGTTCATTAACTACCTATGTGGGTAGAGATCTGGATGGCAAACTTGGAATAAATTAAATGTTTGCAAGACAAATTCTGGAACAGGTCAATTTTAATTTTCAATTCTTCACATTTATAAGGGAGAATTAAATATACAGGGTGATCCATGTTTGAGTTATGACGTTTGAAATTTTTTTCAAATAGAACACCCTATATATTATTTAATGTTTGGAATCTCCATGGAAAGCTTCAATCAAAAATATACAGGGTGTCTGTAAAAGGTTGGGACATGGCTCGGCTGTGGACTGGGATAAAAACAAGTTGATTTAGGCCAACTTACCTATATCCAAAATCGTCCCGTTGAGTTGGTACAAGGTGTTGAAGTTTTTTTGGAAAAAAATAAGTTTGCTCTCAAAAAGAGTAGGCTGAGATCGATTTTCATAATATTTGGCATAGCATGTTCTGTGACTCTAAGTTACGTTTTGAGATGTTTTTGATTTTCATCAGTGATCTGCAAGTGTTTCAAACAACCAGGTTGCCGTACAAATTTGGTGATAACTTTTCAGAGGTCAGACTGGAAACTTCCAGTTTTTTCTCCCAGAAAGATATTCCCTTCAGAAATAGTTTTCATATCCTGTTAATTCTTGATAAATCTCGAAATACCATTTATTTACTCTATAAAATACCCTGTACTGGGTGTTGAGCTCGTCAAAAATATATAATACAAATATTCATACAAAAATACATACATACTAATAATAATAATAATAATAGACAATCTATGCCACAAACAACAAACCTACAATATAACATGGCTAATAAAATGAGAGATTAAAATAGTTTTACAATACAAAATTACAAGGTGACCAACCTACAGTACATCATGGCTAAAAATACAAAAGAAATCAAAATACTTCACAATGGGCGTGTACACCTTAGTAGAACTTTCAACTCAAAATATGTTTATAATGATCCTTTTATACATAAATAATGATTGATGACATAATTCGATCGAAAAATTAACTGGGAATATTTTATTCTTGGGGATGAATATTAGTACCCTCTGAAAATGGACCCTCTTATGACGTAGAAACCTCATCTCGCCAAAGTTAAAAGAAAATACCAAACGCCCGACGGAGACTGAGGCAACTGATATATTAATTCTTTCGACTGTGATCTCGCCCTAGTTCACTCTGTCAGAAATCATGTATCATTCATCTCTGTCTGGAATAGTCTTGTTTCAGTATTAGGGTTTTGACGTCACATCATCGCCTCGTTTTCAGAGGTCCGAAAAATCGGGGATTTCAATAATTTTTTATAAAACGTAGGAAGCTCACAGCAAGAAACGGTTTGCGGTGGTGAGCTAGTTTGGATGAGCTCTATCGAATTATGAAATAAACATTTTTTGTGATATAAGCCCATTAGTTTAAGATTAGATTACAAGGTTCATTAATGTTCAGGAGTTCAGGAAATATGATGCTGATACAGGAAGAAGTCTTGAATATTATAGTAGGCTTTATCTATGAGATAGGTTTTTAGTTTGATTTTCAGGTTTTTAATGGGCAAATTTCTGATGTTTGCAGGTATGGCATTCCATACTTGTTTTAAATGACATGGGGCATTTCTCTGTATATAACTAAGCCTAGTTAAGTCTGGTATGAGATCCTCTTTATTTCTTGTGTTGTATTCATGCCTAGGACAGAAATAATAATAAAACTTATTCGTTTACTACACATATGCCAAAAAGGCCGTTTAATGAATCTTTTGGAAACTTATGAGATAAATTTGTCATTAAATAATAATAATGTAACTTCTTTGAATGAACAAACTCAATATTATTGCAACAAATTTTTCAATTCATTGAATTTTGCTAAATAATTGTCATTTGCCATGTACACTTTTTTCTAGATTTTTGGATTGTAAGATTTCTGATTGTACCAATCTTGTTTTCAGTTTTGTTGCCAATCTGACGTAGTGCTGTGCTATGGTGTTGCCCCCCATCACCTAATCTGTCTATCTATGTAACTAGTTGTTCCATGATCTGGTTGACTTGACAGTTGACAGCAAAAAAATTTTACTGCTTCCGCACATGTGATTCTTTTCTTGGTTATTTCCGAAGCCACATCTTTCTTATTATAAAATATTGATATTTTCAAGTTTAATTACCACTTATCGGTGATTTAAGGGTACCGTGGGCCCTTATTAAATATGTTCCCGACTCCCAACCTTCAACTTTATTGAAATTTTTTAAAAAACATTTTTATCATATAAACAGTAAGTTTCGCTCATACTGATATTTTTTCAAAAATTTTCACTGTTCCTTTTCCAGATCATGGAGCAATGGCTTTTGCTTGCTCCGTTATTGCTTATTGTATACACATTGCAACATTTTTCACTTCCATGTAAGTAAAATATTATTGTATCATACTTAGGTCAAATCTGTCCTTTTTTAGAACTTTACATTTTCTTGGCTGATGCTTATATAAGCCCGAAACATGTTCCCTTATATGATCTATGATCATTAAATAAAAGTTGTGGAGATGACTTTGGGTTTTCATCTATGACCTAGGAATGGAGTTTTCAAAAAATTCAAAATTAATTTTTACAAATATCGATTCCAAAATATATATGCTCGTTATTGTCATGATTTTATTTTGAATAAATATTGGTTTGCAACTTTCTCTATTTTTTAGTTTGAAAATATATCTTAGGCACCTTTTTTGCATCAACAGCATGCATTTTACATGAGTTGAGTTTCCTCACAATACAATGCCATAGCTGATTTTTGATTGAACATAGGCATGATATGCAATCAACGCTGTTTTGTAATCGACATTGAGGCTCAATATTATAAGTGCATAGCTATATTGTGACATTAATTTTGAGATTTTGTCTATGTGATCCTTCCAGTCCAATCTACTGTCTATTATCAAACCCAGAAAAGACACACTTGATTCAGGTTTAATTTTGGTGTTATTATATTCTAGTTCGATTTTTGTGTTATTTGTTTTCATTCTATCCCACTGCATCAACTGTGTCTTTTCTACATTCAACAGAAGCCCATTAGCAATATACCATTTATCTAATTGTTCCAAAGCCTGTATTGCCCTATTTTTTGTTTCTTCAGTACTCGATTCATTAAAGATGATAGTTGTGTCGTCAGCATACATGATGATATTATCTTTTATTACTGATTGCATTTCATTTGTATATAAAATATATAGTAGTGGACCTAAGATTAACCTTGCGGCACACCTTTCTTAACAATTACTATATCTGATTTAACGTTGTGCATTTTTTCATTCAGTTCCACTGTTCTTTGTTTTCTTTCAAATAGATAGGACTGTATTAGTTTAGAGGAAATTCCCCTTACTCCATATCATTTCAAGTTTTTCAAAAATATGTTATGATCTACAATGTCAAAGGCTTTGGAAAGATCAAGGTACAGTGCTGTTGGCTTATATATTATTTTATATTTCTCCGAAAATTCAATTAACCTGTCATCAATGAGTTTTCCAAAAATTTTATTAATATTTGAGAGCAAAGAGACGGGCCTGTAGTTTTTGAAATCCAGTATGTCTCCTTTTTTATAGATGGGTTTAATGCAGCCTATTTTCAACTGTTCTGGATAAACACCTGAACAAAACATCAAGTTAGCTATATGTGCAATAGGTCCTGCTATTAAATGGGCTGATTCTTTTAATAAAAGTATTGGTATCTCATCTTCCCCAACAGATTTTTTGTTCTTAAGTTGTCTTATGCAGTTTATAATTTCAATTTTGTTTGTCAATCTAAGTATAAAATTCTCCTTACAAATTTGAAATGTTTGATAAGTCACACTCTCCTTGTTTTATATCTGGACAAGCGTTTATGAAAAATTCATTTACAGTATCAAGTATTTTCTTATCACTCTTATCACTTTCAAGAGTGCTGTTTTCCTGCTTAAGGTTTTCTAATATATTTTCACTATTCACTATTTTGTTTGTGACATTTTTCACAGCATACCAAGTGGCTTTACTTTTATTTTCCGCCTTGTTGATTAAGTTTCTATTGAACATTTTTTTTGCATCTCTACAAACTTTTTTCAGAAGCCTGGCATAGTTTTTATATGTATTTTGTGATACTTCACCTTGTAACATTTTTTTAAAAAGCATTCTTTTTTTGTTTACTTCCCATGGTTATCCAGTTTTTCTTGCTGCCCTTGCATTTGATCTTTTTTAAGGTAAATATTTGGTTCATAGTTGTTTGAAAAATATTAAAGAATAGTTTATAGGCTTCATTCACCCCATCTTGCTCATAAATGTTTTGCCAGTTTCTAGTTTTTTTTATCGCTTGGAGCGCACGAAAGGGACTCCCTATAATGTTCAAAGAACATCGTGCGTTCCTAGGGAGGATAGGGATAAGAGGTAGGTATTGGATTTTTTTTTGAACTTCTGGAGATTATATGTTGTTGGGAAAACTTCCTCAGGCAATGAATTCCAGAGCCTAGCCGTTCTATGGATGAAGGAGTTTTGATAAAGTGCTGTTCGACATCTTTCCAGGTTGACAACGAAAGGATGTGCTAACTGGGCTTGTCTAGTTCGTCTGACTGGTATTGCTAGAGAAGGGATGATAGCAGAGATTTCCGAAGCACATTTCTCGTGGAAGTATCGATAGAAAAGTGAAAGGTCGCCGACCTTTCTTCGGTGTTCCAATGATGTCAGAGAGTGAGTGAGTGTGGCGTCACCCACCAGGCGGATGGCTTTTCTCTGGATGGAATCTAAGAGCATCAGCATATGTTTTGGTGCTGAACCCCATATGTGGGAACAGTATTCTAGAACAGGCCGTATCTGCGCTTTGTAGATCATGAGAAGCTGTTGAGGTGTAAAGTAGCTTTCCACACGGAATAAGAATCCAAGTTTTTGTGAAGCAGCTTTTGCACTGGATCTTACATGATTATCCTA